TGATAAGGAAGTCCAGCTCAGAGCCTTGAATGCGGTACAAGTTCTCAACCCTCCAAGACATTTGGAGGGTGGTTCGTCCCAATGCTGCTTGAGAGTTCTCAGTAGGGACGGGATAAAGGACAGCTGCATCGGTAAGTTCTGGTCCTCATCTATATCCCCGTAAACCTTGTCCGAAGACATCTCAGGAGGCCTTTCTACAGGAAGTTCGAGTGTGGTGGCGATCTGATGGACCGTTTGAGAATAGGAGGGAAAATCTGCCACCGGTGATATGGGATGTTTGTCAATGATCCCCGAGTCAGGGGTATTATCATTGGCTGCTGAGGTGTCGGAGAAACTGTAATCAGTATCGGAGTCATCTGAGCCCTCGGGATAGACAGGTTGAGGCATCTGCGGTACTGGGCGTCTGGGTACCGGAGGGTTGGGGGCGCGCTTCTTATGGTCGTGTTCTCGAAGAGGGTCAGTACTGTGACCCTGTGGAGGGTTTATGTTACCGGTATCGGGACCATCATCAGTATCGGAGTCCCGGTCGGTACTGATCTGATCTAATTGAAATGAGTCAGAATCAGACGAAAGGTGATGATGTTTCTTCTTTGGTTGCGGTATCGACGGGTTAGACCGCTTCCGTTTGTGAGGCACTGTACCGGTAGGGTCGGTACCGGAAGGTACGGTATCATCCCGGGGAATCGGGTAGGATGAGTCGCCATTCGTCGGTATTGGCGGGCGAGGTGGCATTGGAAAGCTGGGTGGATAGCCGTGTTTCACTTTTGGTACCGGAGGATCGCCCGGTACCGAGCGTTGTCTCTTTTTGCCGGTATCGGGAGAAGGCGATACCGGAGGAGACGAGAATCCGTCCAAGGAATCCGACGAAGAGGGAGAGGAGTCCAAAGACGAATCGCAAGTAGCGAGGCTATACAGAAGGCGCGGGTCGTATAGCTTTTGCATCTGCTTTCTCCATTTTTTAAGGTAGCTCTTGGAGAGCTTAAGAGGCGGTGTGTCCTCTGGTAATGCATGCCTCTTAGTGCTTTTGGGGCGAGAATCTCCAGCAGATGGTACCAAATGCTTGGTCCTCGCCTTCTTTTTTCTAGGAGACGAAGGTCGCGGGGATAGTACCGGCGTAGGTGGAAGTGGAACCTGCGGAGAAGGAGATGGTGGCGAAGAACCCTGGGAAGGGATTTCAATAGGAGACTGTGGAGTCAGCACTGGCAACGACGGGGACGTCGGTGGCACTAAAATAGGAATGGTCCACGGAGGCGAGGTCGGAGGCAGAGGAGGTGGCGAGGCCAGAGTCGTGGCCTTCGATGATTTGGGCGGCGGTTTAGCCTTGGCTTTGCTTTTAGAAGCTTTTGCCTTCCCTTTAGATTTTAAGTCTGGTAAAGGGTCGAGGTCCATAGCTGAAGCAGTTGCCGCCATATCTGGAGGTCGCAACGATTTCTCCCAAAGAGCTGCACGTAGGCGCTGTTCTCTAAGTCTCAACCCCTGCTTGGTAAAACTTTCGCAGTGGCGACAGGATTGAGGAACGTGCGACTCTCCAAGGCAAAACAAACACAAACGGTGACCGCCCGTGGAAGGGATCTTCTTCCCACACGCCGCACAGTTTTTAAAAGTGACCTTGGGGGATCTAGGGGCCTTGGAGGCCATACAAAAAAAGGCAGGAAAAATCTGGGGGGAATGGAGGGAAGGGAAAGAAAGCAAACAAAGTCCAAAGAAAACACCTCCCCTCCAAAAACAAAGTATTGTACTTCCCTGAAGTACAGACAGAGCCGAATGAAGAGAAATCTTCAATAACTTCCACAAAATTCACGGAGCTCTAGCTAGGAGACCTAACTGCAGCAGCGGAAAAAATGGAACTGAGCTAACTGTTAGGGCGGGTGGACCATGAGGTCCTGGGGGGCGGAGCTAAAAAGAAAGGTTACTTACCTGTAACCATGGTTCTTCGAGTGGACCTCTGTGAATTCACACATATGGGTTTAGTCTGCGCCTGCGCTGACATTCTCAGAGCATTCTAGAGCTAAAAGTAACAATTTTATGGTGTGATGACCCATGAGGCACAAGCTCCTCCCACCCAAGATTCCCCTCAGTTCTTGCAATTTGTCCGCCGGGCATGAGAGTTATACAACAATAAGATACCCGTGACGACAGAGGGGAGGATGGGTGGGTAGTGTGAATTCACAGAGGTCCACTCGAAGAACCATGGTTACAGGTAAGTAACCTTTCTTTCTTCTTCATGGCCTCTGTGAATACACACATATGGGTGACTGGCAAGCTTACTTATTGGCAGGTGGGACGTCACGGTAGGAAGGATGG